CCTGGACCGAGAAGACCTCTCGGCGCTCTCTCTTTCGCTGACGCGCCGTGAGGCACGCTGAAGGCCCGCCGAAGATCATGAAAGCATTGTGCACTTCGGGGAACCCATCATCCTTGTCGTTGTCTCCGTCGCCGGCGCCCTTCTTCCTGGCATCGTCGTTGGGGAGCCCGAGCTTGGCGTAGTAACGTCAGAGCATGGTGCATTCTTCGAGGGTATGCTTCACCGGGCCCTGGTGGTAAGGACAGGGCATCTTAAGCATATCGTCGAATACTCCGGGGCCCCTGCCGGGGCCTCGGAGATTCTTGCGATCTGTGGTTGCGACGAAATCAACCTCGAGGGCCTCTTGCTTCCCTAGGCGTCCCTTTTTCTTTTTCTTGGGGAAACGGGAGGCCGAGGCCCCGGGGGCCTCGTCCCTCCGCTTCCCCTTTGTGTCGCCTTCGGGGAAGATGGCCCCGACGGCCTCTTCACCCGAGGCGAAGTTGGTGGCGATGTCGAGGAGCGCGGCCATTGAGGTTGGTACGTTCCGGCCTAACTCTCAGACCAGGTCTCGGCAGGAGGTGCCTGAGAGGAAAGCCTGGACAACTTCCGAGTCGCCGACGCTGGGCAACTCAGTACACTGCTTGGAGAATCTCCGGATGAAGTCTCGGAGAGACTCGTTTGGCTTTTGGCGTCAACTCTTGAGGTCCCAGGAGTTCCCGGGCGCACGTATGTGCCCTGGAAATTCTCGACGAAGACCTTTACCAAGTTGCGCCAGTTGTGGATCTGCAAGGGAGGGAGGTGTTCGAGCCAGGCTCGCGCTGAGTCTGATAGGAATAAAGGGAGGTTGCGGATGATGAGCAGGTCATCATTCGCGCCACCTAACTGACAAGCCAGGCGGTAATCGGCCAGCCACAACTTGGGGTTGGTCTCACCGCTGTACTTTGCGAGGTTGGCCGGTTGCCAAAACCGGGCGGGGAACGAGGCGCCGCGGATGGCCTTGCTGAAGACTCGAGGGCCAGGTGGCCCAGGAGAAGGACTGCGGTCCTCGCCACTATCGTAGCGGCCGCCTCGGTGCGGGTGGTAGCCTCAGGCGGGCCCATCATCGTCGTGGTGTCGTCGCCTGCTGACCACATCGTGGTCATCTTGCGCCTCGCGTCGGTCGCTGAGGCGGTCGTGCACTGAGGGGGCCTGAGGCGGTCATGCACTGAGGGGGCCCTGAGGCGGTCGTGCACCGAGGGCCGTTTCGAGGTGTCCTCACGCCATCGAGACGCGGAGCTTTCGGCCTGCTGTACCGCGGCGGTCTCGAGAAGGTCTCGGAGCTCGCCGCGAACCCATCGCCCCTCCGTGGTAGAGGGCTTGGGCATCATTCAGACTAGCATTGCCACTGCCGCAACGTTCTGGCTTACGCGATTGAAGATTGGGGGTTGCTCACTCCCCTCGTCATTGTTGATGCGGCGGTGCATGTCGTGGGCCCTTTGCCGGGCCCTTCCGCCATCACCGCGACCTCGCTGCTCCTGCTCGAGAGTGTCTCGGAGCTGCTGCAGCAGGAGTCGGTCTTGGTCGACCTTTGCCTGGAGCTCATGGAGCTGCTCCAGGTCCAGACGTTGGGGTTCCTCGGGGGCGGCATTCACGTTCCGTGCCGCCCGAAGCCCGACGAGCGGGGGTGTGGCGTCGCCCGCCCCTTGGCAGAGCAGGGAGCGGTTGCCTGCCCCTTCATTCTCATTACTTGCCCCTGGCATTCCGAGCCTGATGTGGAAGCACTCTCGAGTGGGATCGTAAGTGCCCTCGTCATCGGAGTCTGAGTAGCCGAAGCAGTAGTCGTTTGCGGCCAAAAAGCGGCGCATAGCCTCAGGGTCACGAAACCCGGAGAAGTCTGCTCCGGCCCACGCCTCGTCCTCCTCTGAGGAGTTGGTGTGGGTGTGAGCCGAGGTTGTGGCCGAAAAGTCAAGGGTGAAATGTTGGTGGCGCCCTGAGGGCTCTGTGTGAGCGGAAGCATAGGCGGCGGCATTTCTCAAGCCGAAAGGGTATGGAGACGGGGCCATCGTCGGGCCCTGCTCCACCGGAGTTGGCTCCTCAGGTGGTGGCGGTGCGGAACTTGACGACGGGGCATCGCTGCACGTCACTGATGTCTTTTCCCTACCCAAGCTTAGGCTAGACAGGTCCCTAACCAAGGACCTCGTACCAACAGTCGGGCACGAGATACCGGCGGAGCGCGTCGCGTCGCCCTGAGGTCGTGCGGTGTCGGGGTGGTCCTGCTCGCGCCGTGCTTGGCGAGCGCGACGAGAGCGGCGGCCCGAGCGCCGCCTACGCCCGGGCTGTTGGTGCACGACGCCGTCGTCGGCCAAAGGGGCTCTGGGTGGGAGGAGTACTAGGTCATACTCACGTCCTAGAGATATGAACTCTAGGCTTCCGAACCAGATCACCGTGCCGAGACGTAGTGGGCATATGGGGTCAGCCATCCAAAACTTGTTGGGACGATCAAGCTAACATGCAGAGGCCCCTACCTGGCGCGCCAACTGTCGGTGTTTCGGATCGGGGGGGGTCCTCACCCAACCAGTGAATTTGAACTGCGTGCCCCTAATCCCGGATGGTGATGCAAAGAGACACAAGGTTTATACTAGTTCAGGCAATTGGTGCCCTACGTCCAGTCTAAGAGATCAATCTTGTATTCCTTGCACCGAAGTGCTTATGCTAGGGGGTTACAAGCTGGGTGAGAGAGGAAGCTAGTCCAAGGTCTCGGCGTGGAATGGTGTGGGCTGCTTGAGACGTTGCTCTCAGGCAGCATGGGAGAGCGTGTGTTACAGAGTGTCGCTTGCGCGTGTGTGAGAGCGTGGTTCTTTCGTATGTTTTTTCGCCCCCCTAGAGCTATCCCTGGCTGCTTCCTTTTATAACCGCAAGGAGGGAGCCAGGAGTACATGAGTGAGCTACACGTGGAGCCTCTTGTAGTTCGATCCTGTGAGCAAACATGGTGTTGGGAATGGCGATCGGTACTTGGTGGGCGCGCCCGTCTTTGGTGCTTGAGGTTGTTGAGGTCGTGGGAGTCCTTGTTGACATCTAGTCAGTATGGCCTCCACTGTAGGAGACATGCCGTGCCTTGTAGATTCTTGACTTGGTGGAGTGCCGAGGCCTGGCGGGTGCTGTAGCTGATCGTGCCGAGGCCTACTTTGCCGAGGCCTCGGAGATGACCCGTGTGTGATGCGGGGGTCTTGATGGTCAGCGTCGTACCAGGTTTAGGTGGAAGAGTGCGGAGCGTGTGTCCACAGGGCACGGTAACCCCTGTACCGTCAGTAGGGGATGGTAAAAAGGAGATTTGACCGCTGTCCCATCGCCCCCGTGGCGGTACCCTGCCAGTCGTGGCTGTCGTAGTAGGTGTGACCAGGCGCACTTAAACGGATGGGACGGCTCGCCAGAGGGACGGTTGAGGTGGAGGCGACGAGGATGCGGGACGAGCCTGGCCTCGGTCGAGGCGGAGAAGGAATAGTATGTCCGAGGCCCTACCGGGTGGTCTCGGACGAGGCGGAAGATGAGCAGTTGGTCTTTCATGCTGATTCCGAGACTACAGGGACCCGGACTTGACCCTCCACGCCGCTTTGTCCTTGGCGCAAGAGTTAGGTAGCATAGGGCAGTACGGGTGTCAGCAGGGGGCACAGTGATGAGCACAGTGGCAAGTAATCCCTGCTGCGCCCGGTCCCCTGTCCCGTCGGTCACTTTGCCTGTACTGCGCCAACGTGCGGCTTACGTTGTGGGAGTAGTTGGGCGCATTAACTGGACGTGATGTTTTATCAGAGGAGCCGGTCGGGACGGAGGTGACGAGGTTGTTGCCGAGCCCAGCCTCGGGTGAATCGGAGAATTGGTATCCCGTCCGAGGCCTTGCGGGGTGGGGCCTCGGCGAGAGGGCCTCGGCGGGGCGGAGAGTTTTGGCCTTTCGTCTGAGGCCTCGGCGCAAGCCTCGGACGAATCGGAGAATCTGCCGAGACCTCGTGGTTGTTTTTTGGCTTTGATTTTTGCCAAGCTTAAGCAATATTTTCGGTTCTTGCTTAGGGTACCCCTTCTTGCGGTATCCGACAATGGTGCATAAGGTTCTGATGAACCCTCGTTGCTCTCCATACTACTCTGCTGAATTACATTTATCAAAGACAGAGAAGTTGAGGCTTCCAACTCTGATGTTCCCGGCGCCATCTGATCCCTCCAGCCAATTCTTGATGGTTGGCTCACTTATTCTTCCAACAAGGTCACCAGCGCTGTAGATGAGTAAGAGTAACAAGTCAATTTGCAGTTTTGCACATAGCATAGATTGTGAATCCAAATTTTAAGGCATCATTTGGCAGGGCTTTTCCACCAGTTTCAGGAGTCGTTTGGAGCCGTTTTCTGCCAAACGAGATAAAGTGAAATAGCTTCACTGGTGAAGTTCCTAAAAACATGCTCTCACAATGATTTGGGGTGGGATGTAGCAAAAAAAAGTGGCTTCTCCCAGCTCTTCCTCCAGGCCTCTGAAAACATGCTCTCACAGGGAAGCCATTTTGTCAAACGATTTACCAAAACCGCTTCAGCTCCACCGGTGGAACTGTTTGTGGAGCTAAAGCAAAAAAAAGTAACTTCACTAATGAAGTGAAGCCCTGCTAAACGGGAACTAAAATTCCATCTAATTACGGCCCCCCGTACATTACAATGGTCATTTGTTACGAGCCGTTTCTGAATACACGATGTTCGTTTCGAATTTTGTTTGATAATTTCCTGCATCCTCAAGGAAACAGAAACTGGGACATGCAAACCATCATTTGCAATTTTGCATCTTCACAAATCCACATGTATATGTACAATTTGGTTGTATAACATCGACACTCGACAGGGCTACATCCACTGCACAATTACTCCTTGCTACCACCTCCGATCGAATTAAGCAAAAAAAGCACGAGCAAACTACTCCCTTCACCCTGCGCGCATGCGCGACGCGTCCAAACAAACCCTCCGCCAGTCCCTGGAACGATGCACACCACGCGGCACGGGCGGCGGGTGCATCCTCACATGGCGCCGATGCAGGAGAAGATCCTGACGCTGCGGGCCCTCTGCGGCGCGCCCGGCCGGCGGCCCCACTCGGGCGAGGCGCCCACCTCCCCCGCCAGCTCCTCCAGGGAGCGGTGCCGGCGGTGCGCCATCTCCCTCCCCGCCGTCGTCGTCACCTTGCCGCCGCCGGCGGCGGACTCCCACTGCTTCTGCTGGTCCCACGAGCTGTCCTCCACGCGGGCCCCGAAGAACCCGCCGCGCGATGAGCCGGTGGAGCTGCACCGGGAGTAGTAGCTCCGGGTCCGCCGCTCCTTGATGGCCTTGTAGATGAACGGGATGAGCCCCTCCATGTTGGAGTCACTGGGTGTTTTTTTTTCGCTGGAGAAATGGCGTCGTTGCTCGTTGGTTTTGGTGGTGGTGAGCGAGGCGCCTTCGTTGTTTTTATAGGCGGAGCGGGATGAGTTGTGCGCGCGCGCGCACACAAAACCATTCAGATCTATGACACCAAATTAATATCATTAGATGTATTATAGAATATATTTTTATAACATGTTTATTTTATGTTATGGATATTTTTACTCTTACCTATAATGTTAGCTAAACTTAAGGATATATTTTTTTTTGACAAACAGGCCGTCGATGAAACGCGGTGCTTGGTTCCAGTCAACTGACAGTAATAGCGATGGAAATGAACGGCAAGCAAAGATTATCCTGTCCTTTGGAATACGTCAGAACTACAGCTTGTATCAAATACCAATTGAAATTGTTTTTTTTTTCATTTATCTGCCGTGATCCAAACAGTGAAACATGCCTAAATTGAGCGCTGCATCTTCCATTGAATGCAAGTTGTCACTGAAAACGTGGAAAAGCGAGCGAAGCATTGGCAAGAAGACAGCTGAGCAGTTACAAGTAGCAATCAAAGCAAAAGGAGAAAACAATCTTGTTAGTCGAAGCATCATCTGTTTCTCATATACAACAATTCTTCTTTGGAGAACATTTGTTTTGGATAATATCAACCCAATAGTCGCTGCACCAGTATTGCCGTTATTCTGAAAGAAATCTAAACCTATGATTAAATATAAATACTACTAGCCATCAGTGACAGGTTCTGTTGAGCCATAGGTAAGCAAGTAGGCTGATGGCCTGATGGGATCGTCTTCTCTCTCTCTCTCTCCAAGTGGACGCTACAAGTCTATTTAGATTACAGTGTCTGAACTCTAAACAGATAGGGTATCCAACTATCCATCTCATGCTTCTCCAGATACTGCAGAGAAGAAATCATTACAAATGGAACGCAGGTCACCGTTGAAGTCGCCTAGCTCATCGATTGGATGGCTGCCGCCGGAACAGACAGACATTCGAGAATTCAGTGGGAAGTTTGCCGATGCAATCTATCAGGCGTCCGCCGTGGTCTAGCTGACCAGGATTTCCAATCCACGCTTGTACTGAATAAAAGAAAAGGCACACGTTGTTCTCAAGGTTTAGGTGGTGGTGTTGACGAAGTGAGCATGGGGCACAGTCGCAGCAGCGCCACGCCAGCACTCACTGCGCGATAGACTGGCCACCTAACACAAGCAGTTGGCTTCAACGTAACCTCCGTGACTCGTCCCGAGACTCGTCGGAGGTTTTCAGTGGATATTATCTTCTCTTCTGCTTCCATTTCTGCTGTGGAAATGCTTTTATGAGTCGAGATAAACGAAACGATCTAGATTGGCTCTGCCAGGTGTGATTTAGAGTGTAATTCACCCTTGTGTTAGCCACGTCATGGTTGGTCTTCTCCGTTGCATTAGGTTCGTTTTCGAGAAACACTTCAGATTCTGTGACGAGACGTAGAATTCTTTTTACCATTCTCCCATGGCAGATGGTGTCCGGTCGGCAAAAGGCGATCGACGCTGACCCGGCGTTGGACAGGACGAATCGGTGGACTCGATCCGGCTGCGGTTGCAGCGCAGCCGTTGTTTCGCCTCCGTTTCCCTTCGACGCGAGTGCGCCAAAGCCGGAAAGCGCCAGGGCCCAGGGGAGAAGAGACTTGTCGTAAAGAAAAGAGGTGCTGCTCTGCTGATCAAATCAGGTCAGCCGATCCTCTTGCGTCACCGTCTCACTAGCTACTTCAACGCGATACGGTGGCTCTGACGGGTCGTTCATAACAGCTCCCCTTTGCGTCTTGTTGCCGAGGTTCTGGATAAACATAAACGTCACGTAATTCTAGAGAACCCAGAGCCCTTACAATGGGGAGTACTATTACGACGACAAACAAGAAGCTCCCAATCCGGCTCGGCACTGCAACCGTGTCGTAGTCGTCGTCGCCGATTTTGTTATTTTTTTGTTTTGCGAAAGGTGTAAAGTGGTGTCTGACACGTCTCACGAGTCGCGATTGACCACTTTGCGTCGTGCATGCAGGGTAACGCGTAACGGAGCAGAACAGAGAACGGGAAATAGGGAGTACAGAGAAAAAAGAGGCTAAACGCAAAAAAAAAAAAAGTCCCATGTAGCAGGCTGGCTGCCCAACCAGGATTCACATGGGCCTTTATGGGCTAAGGATTGTTTAAGTCGGCGCAGGACGCCGTGGCTAGGCCTGGCCTACTCGTGCAAATCTCTCATAGTCGATCGAGGCCGGGAACCCTAGATGGCTTTTTCTCCTTTTTTTTCTACCTATATAAAAATAAAAATAGTGAAAGATCGTCCTCAAAACAAATCAAAAGAAGATACTATGCTTTCAGCTTGACCAAGTTTTATATAAGATATAGGTGACATGGTTGGGGATATCATCAATAAGGAGGCAAATGCCACTAGAGAAAAATAACAGAGCCAACATTTGGTCTCCACCGATGCCAGAGATAACTAAAATAAATATTGATGGTGCTTTTCTTGCCGATCAGAAGAAGGTGAGTTGGATTTTTATTGCTCGTGATCATGAAGGCTCAGCGGTCATGGCTGACGCTGGAATCTGGATCAAACAGATGTTATACATGATGCCTAGTGTGCGGAGACGGTGGCTCGACGGATGGCTCTCGAGGCAACCTCAAGTAATGGTACGATGAGGATCATCATTGAAACATATTGTTCTTCCCTTGTCAATGCCCAAAAGTCCACAACTTTTGATCATGGTCTTGCTGGTGTCTGGTTTAGGTACACTAGATTTTTTACGAGTCTCAATTTCATTATTGCAATACGGTGTTTGTACCCATGATTGCAACCGGTGTGCTCGTGTGACTACGTACAAGTATCTGTATGGGGATCCGGGTTATGTTTGCCTCGATCCTCTTCCGAACTTTGTAACAACACTTGCACTACGTGATGCTGATGCGTCAGTGGTGATTGGTCAATAGTCGAAGAAGATGATTTCTTTAAAAAAAGTGAAATAAGTTTTTTGAATGTAAAAAAGGTGAATTAAGTCAAGTCTGCTTTGCCGAAAGCATACATAACTCCATTCCAATTGAAATATTTTCATAAGATTCGAAGGAAACCTGTTCCTTTTTTAGAGTTTCTCTGGCCATTCCGGACCGTTTTCATCCTTTAAGAAATTCATCCCCACATATAGAATTTTTATCTTTTCATCCTCGCAACGATATTATGTACAAGTCTAAAGTTAAGTCTAAAATATTGTGGCTTATGAACACATGTATGCCATTTGTCCGTGTTGTTTTTTTTTATTATAGTATAGCATTCATTAAAAATTTCTCACAAAGAAGATTAATTAAAATTTTGTCTAATACACCTCAGAAGAAAAATAAAAAAAGAGAGAAGAGCTCGAAAATAATAAAAAAAAAAAAAGAGAAAGAGAGAGGAGCATTGTTTTTCTGATCTGATGAAGAGAGAAACGTTGACGGATTGGCTTCAAGGCGAACCAGTTTTCTTGCAGCGCGTGCTGGCGCTGCTCTGAGCAGTCTCTCTACCTCCTGCTAACCGACGCCTCCCGATGCCGCCCAAATCGAAGGCGGCCGCCGCCGCCGCGGAGCCGGTAGCCGTCGAGGACCTCTTCACCTCGCTCCACCGCCACATCGAGGCCGGTGCTTTCGAACAGGCCGCCAAGGTCGCCGACCAAGGTCAAACACTCCATCTCCTCCCCCGCGCGCCCCAGACTCTCGTGCCCTAACCCCGTTCGAATCTGACTCCCACTGGTTCCGCAGTTCTCAAGGCGGCGCCGGGGGATGAGGACGCGGTGCGATGCAAGGTGGTGGCATACATCAAGGCCGACGAGATCGACAAGGCGCTCGCCGCGATCCGCACCGCCGAGCGCCTACCGATCGACCTCAGCTACTACAAGGTGAAGCGACTTGTCCTCGCTCTTGCTCCGCTCGCCCGATGGGTCTGTCCGTTCCCTTTGTTGTCATCCCTGCTTGGCTCACTAGGGACTAGACTGTGGTTAGGATGCGGGAGTGGCCAGATCTGTATGGGTTTATGCCCTATGATAAAGTAAATCAATTGTTTTGTGTGATTGAAACGGAAAATTTCACTGGATGAACTGCTCCAATGTAGTTTAGTGCTGATGCTGGTGACTCTGTGTAGTGAAATTTGCTATTGAGGTCATGCGATTCAGCGTAATCTTTGCATTGCGTGTTGCTGTTCTCTGCTCTGCCCAACTTATATTCATATGTGAGGAAAATCATGCGTGCAGTTACCTGTGACATATTGGTAGAAACTGCTGAACGAGAATAAGCTTTCATGCTATGCTGCAACACTTTGTTGATTTAAATATGAAGTGATTCGGTCATCCTTTGGGTTGAACACAAGAGATAATTTATGTTTAGTATATTTATTTAGCTGTTCTAACATTCCCTAGTTTAACTATTGTTCGTATAAGATCTATCCATCTAGCTAAACACACCTTGACAGGGCCAACTCTTTTAATTCCACACTTCCACTCATTAACTTTATGGTCTATAATACCTGTGTGAATTCTTAAGTCTGATCCTGTTGCATATGAAGCCGTAATTTTGTATGCTGAAGTTGAAGTATGACTAGACTCATTCTCTACTCGGTGCTGTTCCTTGCGTTTCGTTGAAGTTAATTACTTCTGTGGTGTTTGCTTCATCTAAGTAGAAGTTTGAATTATAACGTAGTGTTGGAGAACCACGCGCTTACTTTTTTGCCAAATCTGATCTTAGGGCGCTATTTTTGTTATTTAAAAACAATCTGTGTGATCAAACTAAGTATTATTATTATTATCATTCAGGCCTACTGCTGCTACAGGCAAAACAAACTGCAAGAAGCTCTGGAGCTTTTAAGAGGTCAAGAAGAAACTTCAGGTGTTCTCCAGCTGGAATCCCAGATCTTTTACCGGCTAGGAAGAATGAATGATTGCATGAGTAGCTATGAGAAGCTTCAGAAATTTAAAATTGACTCGATG